ATCGGTGTCCGAACCCTCACCTGATGATGCATCCTCCTCACCCACGGCATTCACATCATCATGTATACGATTAGTATAGAAATACTCTTCTAAGGGACCTTCGTCTTGACCAGGCTGCATGTGGAGCAAGGGCACATGTTCATTGGTGGCGGCGTTTTCCGCAGTTTCTTTCTGTGCCTTCGCTACTATTTCTGGTCTTCATAAGGGCAAATTTTGTTTTCGATGGCTTCTGGGCTACGGGCAAGTAATTGTTGATACCGCTATACATGACAGCACAACTACGGCCCAGTATACTTGAATAACATTTCTTTATAGTGGAGGACAGCACCGGGGTATGGATTACAGAGAAGGAACGGTTCGGGGAGTACGTTTTGAACCTTCGTTCATCATTACACCTAATAAGCTTGCAGCTTTTACAGCATCAGAACGTTTTGGAGCTGCTGAAAAAGTACCAAACAAAAATGCAAATTGTTGCGATTTTGACGGGGAGGGTTTACGTTCCCCGTGTGAGGCCTTGCGCCGTTCGTTTTGGGGTCCCCGTTCCATGACTCTCACGTGCACGGGGACCTCGCCATAGCTCATTACTTTATCATACGTCCAAGTAACTGCCATTCCTATGATAGTATCCTTATCATTTGTTATGCTAGCTACCTGGCTTATTATTAGTTGATAATTACTGTAGATGAAAGATTTAAGTACCAAATAAATTTATTACCTAACTCTGTGGTTAAGAGTAATGTGCGCTGTTTGATCTTGCGGTGACAATAGCCCCGATAGGTTATGTTCGGGCACAACCGAAATTTTTGGGCACCCTCGTGCAGAACCCTGGGCAAGGTATGATGGAGTTCAACGACGGGGAACAGGCGCTGTTAAAGCGCGGAAGCATGCCGGGGATGAGAAGCGCACAGCAACCCATGCAAGCGTAATTCCATCAAAAACACGTTACACAATAACGCACAATAACACACAATAACAAAACAACACATGAGACATTGCAACACACGAGGTATATCAAACAGCAACTTACTACACACCTCAAGCTGGTGAAACACATGCCAAGCAGCAGAAAATTCGAAGGCCCCACATGCACGCACGGCATGGTGGGATATGGTACGGCAAAACTGCAGTCGGATGCGACACACAGCAGGCTGACCCGGCATCAAAAGCCACGGCTATCGTGATGGCGTCGACATACATCCAGTAGGTGGCTGGCAGAAGTTAAGGCCTGGCTTCTGGTCTCGGACGATCCCGGTTCAAATGCCCCGGCCAATCCCTCGGGTGATTGAGGAGGTGTTGAAATGGGAGATGGGCCCCCATCTTGTGTGGACGGTCTAGGACGTGAGAACATCAACTGGCGAGCTGACCAAGACTTAAGTCGAGGCGCCGTTGATCCGCTATAATAGTTGGATGTTTGGTGGTGAGTTGCTGAACCCAACGAATACATTCTGAAGTCGGATGGGGTGAACGGATTAGGGTGCCCCTCTCGCAGCGGAGAGCAGGGACTGCCTCGGGAAAGGGGGCCGCTGGTGAAGCTTAACCACCCTGTAACAACATATATTCTGCCTGCAAGGCTGCTAATGAGCATAGGCCTCGACTATGACGGAAACCGCGAAAGAGGCCGCCACAGCTTCAGCGCCAGTTGAAGAGAATGCTACATTTGCTTCCTAACAAACATCTCCGTCAGCTGCGGCGTATACACAGCATATACACGTACTGCCCCATCCATTTAAGAAAGCTACGGCACCAGCACACACGAGAAATGCACGCAGTCAGCGTCAGTGTAGCGCGAGGGCTACAGGCCAGCGCCCCTATGAAAGCGGAATCCGTAGGTTGCTTCTTCAGGATCCCCTAAGGGCAACCGCTTTGGGAACACTGCAGGAGTAGTGGGGGCACAAGCAGCTCTTGAGATGGACACTCCCCCTGAATCCACATTCTTCGTGTGGACTGAATCCACACTCGTGTGGGCTCCTATAAGCGGCAGGTGGCACTCGGCCACTGGATATCTGCGGGGTCGAGTGCGGCCCAGGGTCTGGAGCACGGGTTGTAACTGCGTTCACGGCGTCCACGGCGTCAACGGCGTCCACGGCGTCTACGGCGTTCAGGGCGTTCACGGCATCCACGCCGGTTGGACAGATGGCCAAAGCAACAAGGTACTGGTCGTCCGGAAGCACAATTAATTCGTGTAAACTACTGCAGCTACTGCAGCTTGGCTGGAGTTGGCGCCTTGCTGACATGGAAGGTTTAGGAGTAACATTCCTGCGGGACAAAATTGTCCGGCCTCCCAGACTGCTGGATTGGACGCCTAGCCGTCGATTGGACGGAGCGCAGCTAGAAGTACCTGGTTTGGGCGCATGTTTGCGTGGCTTGCTTTCTGTTGGTGTGTGTGTGTGTGTGTGTGTGTGTGTGTGTGTGTGTGTGTGTGTGTGTGTGTGTGCGTGTGTATGCGTGTGTGTGTGTGTTAGCTACGGGGCGTCGGGGAATGCAGCGGTGCATGACTGATGATGTGCAGGCGCAGAGTCCAGGTGCACAGCTGTAGTTCATCTGAACACACCATGCCCGAGCACAGTATGTACGACGCCCGCTGGTTTGGCTGGCAGTATTAACTGCCAGTATTAAAACTGCAGTCGTTAAGAAGTAGGTGGGGGGGGACGAACGAAGTGAAGGGCAAGAAAAGGAAGAAACTGCTAGGTACTGGGCGTCGTGGCGGGTTGCTGACGTGTTTCAGATACGCTGTCGTGGAGGGGCAGTGATCTGCTGGGATGGCTTAGTAGGCTCAGATCGCCTGACCCAAGCTAATGGTAGCGGCACCAGCAGGGCTCCACCGTAAGCACAAGTAGTATTCGTTGCTGTCAGGTGGCATGGCGCGGCAGTTGGCAGTTCTTAACAAATGTCAAATGTCAAACGCGTACGAATGACGCACTTACTGATAGATTAGTAATGATCTCGTTCCACTCGCACTTTGAATCTATTTCCATGCCATGCACCACACATGTACGGCACAAAGGCAGGTAGGTACATAAGGCCTCAGGAATACGCAATACGCGATCTACATCTCACGTATCGTTTTGTCCATCGGCGAACCAAATCAATTGCCCGAAATGCAACAGCATGGTCGCTGAACCGCAGACACATTCACCAACAAATGCGACGCCGGCATGCAATACTGCATTTTAAGTACATACAGTGTTAGGGCTTGAGGAGAGGAGCGAGGGTTTTAATGAACACAATCATCGCAGCCCGGCAGCTCTCCCCTTGCGCAACGCTCCAATAGGACTACAATAGGACAACACATTTTTAACTAAGAGCAAAACGATCGAGAAAAAAGAAACCGAACACACGCACACACCACACAAGCATGCATACACAAGCACATAGCGCACACATAAAGCACAAACAGAAGAAGGTGCTTGTATACTCCATGCGCGTGCAATGCATGTGCGCATGAGGAAGGCATGCAGCGCGCGCCGTTATGAGATACATACGTGCACACACACACGCCGTTATGAGATACGCCTGTGCATTGAAAACGACAAGTGCACCCATCTGCACATTTATCGTGTGCGCCGGCAAACACGCAAATTCTTACACGCAAATTTAATTATCCACGCATCACGGAGGGGCAAAGACAGAGCAAACCATCCGTGTTTTCGAGCTACCATACGAGGCAATATCACATCCGTCCATAGCCAGAAATCACATTGTACGCATGTAACGCTGAAATTTCAAACAAAGCACCTTGTCACCCCATATGTATGTATATGTATGTGTGTACACGCATGTGTGTGTGTACACCATGTATTATTAACGAAAACGCCAATCCAAAGCATGCACATCATCGCCACCCCCTTATCCGTGCACAGCTAACATACATCATTGCTATACAGCGTGATGATGCTGCGGTTGGTTATAGCGTGGTGACGAGGGGGGGGGCGGTTAGGGTTTTGATGAGGACAAACACCTGTCATCCGATTCTGTTGGGCCATGGCTGGCTGGCATGTTGGCTATCATAATTAGAAACAAACGAAGCGAGTTAATGCCGGCGATGCTCTCTCTTCCAACGAATTGACACGATGCATGGAGCCTGCAGCCTATCAGACTCATGACTCCGCTTAAAGCCATGCACATATATACATACATACATATATACATGCATACACACACACGCGCGCGTGTTTTGCGTGCATGCGTGTGTAACCGGCACTGTCGGGGGTATATTCCCATTATAACGCGCGCAAACATCCAAAAACCCTAAAACCCTAATCCACAGAATTGTACACAGACATATAAGTGTCGCACGCGTGCGGCCGTTTGTAAAGCACCCGGCGCCTATATATTCCAGCAGAGCTTTCGAGAATTGCAGGTAGCTGCCAATCAAGACGTGTCAGGAGCTTACCCGAGGGTGGAATAAGATATATATAGTTATAAAACTCCACAACATTTCCTCAACAGGGGCCCCACGCATGCAAATATATAATCTCCAGAGCCATCAGGCTCGCGATCGAGGCGATTACGTGAGTGCACCCCGTGCACTAATTTAAAAACACAAGCGTGGTTCGTGAAAAGCACGAAGATGTCCCTTCCGCTGTTTTACTGGTGGACATAGCGACACACACACCTCACGTGCACGTGATATCCGTGGATATCCGTTTTCGTAATAATAAAAAGTAACAACGGGAATATATAACAGGTATAATAAGTCAGCAGCTGTCCAAGGGGAAGGGGTGCGGTAGGCGGTAGGTGGTAGGCAGCTGCAGCTACACGCACGATTTTCGCCTCCATTATTCCCCCCTCCCCCCGAACATATATACGCACGCACACTTTCGCAAAGGATGCATGGGCATAAGCATCCCTTAGGACACAGGCCGTGTATGCATGCGAGATACCCCATATCGTCACCATACCGTGACGGAAGGGCCGTACAGAGCTTTTATATCATAGCAGCTAACGAAGGAAAACGAGGACGGGCCCCAAATGTATACCTTGCTAATTTAAAAAAAAACATGGACATAGTTTGCCGTATATGGACATTCTTCGGCCTCCCTCAGGGCCCTTGGGCCCTCTCATCAGGCTCCGGGTACGTATGGGCCATCGTTAATACACCTTTGGAGGGTGGTAACGCAACTCCAGAAGGTGTAACACACACACAGATACACACACACAAATCAACCGCCACACGGACATGCGGCCAGCAGAAACCCCACTCAGCAGACCGCTAGCCATCCAGAAAGCCAGGCAATCAGCTGGGCAACAAGCAGCCAGGCAGGCAGGCAGGCAGGAGGCATTTCTTCCTCCTCCTCCTCCTCTTCCTCCTCCTCTGCAGCCCTTTCCCCCTCGCCTCCCATTTCCCGGACCTACTAATACCCGGTCCGTGTCTCTCGATGTTATATTACGGCCGTGGCGAGACCGGGGGTGTGTTGCCCGTCCTGCGCTTCGCATGCACCTTATCCAGCACCATGGACAGGCTCACCGAGGTCGCAGAGCGAAGACTCTGGGACGCTGCACAGTGCAAGAAGCGAAAGGACCATGGAGAAGGGGAGACGGGGGTGATGGAGGGTGATGAAGGGGGAGGAGGAGGGAGGATGCGGTCGGCCGGTGGGTGAACCAGCGGGGTAAGTGAGGTGGTGCATTTCCTAGAAGGAAATGGACGCCCAAACGATGGAAACGAACGCCCCAGTAGAGCGCACTTGGCATGCACATACTGCCCGAGAAAAGACAAAATAAACAGGACCGCGGCGGCCCATGCTTGGGTGCCGTGCAAGGTCATCACCACGGGACGGGACTGCATTAGATTTGGAGGATATTTTGTTAGCTTTTCTGGAGCGTGCATGGGCGACAGCTACGAATGTTATGTAACATGACGGTGTTTGATGACCTTGGCCCGCTGGTCGCTATAGGCCCTTTCCCGTACTGCCGTACTATTGTACTCCTGGTCATTATGTGTACTACATCGTCGACTCTTATGTGCAAAATAAATTATATCTCACATAATTTCTGGGTTCTCAGTAATTACCTGATATGACGTGATGCCGTACGGCTGTAAGGCCCATGTGTACTTTGGCACGGGCGTAGATGATCTGCTGTCGCGCAGCCTCCATCTTCTTATTAATAGCGTCGCGGCCCTGCGAGGCATCATGCATGCCGTACATTTGGTGGCCCACAGGAAGCGCTTAGAATCCACAGTCAACGAATCCATTGCTTTTTCAAGATTTTACAGGTACGAAGTAATAAGGAAATGGAAAATCGTAACGATGAGTTTAGCGTTGGCACAACTTGAAGCAACGGGCGCGACATGGTGGTTTCCATAGCTTACAAATGCATCCAGTGTGATGTATGTATGTAGTATGATGTGATGTATGTATCGTGCAGCGTTCTGTTGCTGCATAATAGATTTCTTCCAGGCATATTTTCAGGCATTATGAAGACTGCATCTTATAACTAGCCTAACGAACAAGAGAGCAACAAGGGGCAAGCAAAGCATGTAAGGTGGCATACAATCCCAGCAATTCAGTGAATCACACTTAGTTTCCCATGCCCAAGATGGCTGTACTGCAACGTAACAAGGTGACTGTACGACAGCACTCGTCCGCCCCCCACGGTATCCTGCGGAGACTAATATTGCGTCCGGCGGGAGAGTCTAAATTTGCCGTACTCACTTTATCCATTAACCATACGATGATCTAAAAGAAATCAATTGATTTCTTTGACTTGCACTTCACCATTGGGATGTGCACCGCAAGCAAGTCATCCAAGACCCTCCGGAGCCTTTTCGGATCCCAAACATTACACACAAACACACACACACCCCAACACACACACACACACACACACGGCAATCTGACATTTATCTGAGGGGACTTACATGCGACAGCATGACATACACGAAGTACAGAAGCAACCCGGCGTTGAGGACCACAATGATGGCGCCGATGGCACCGGCTACAGCCTGCAAGCGGTGGTATTAGCACAGCGTGCATACGGCGTTCGCACGACGAAATGGAGTTGTGAGTGATGCAACACCGCAGGCACGCTTCGGGAAGATGATGGCATCGGGATGCACACGGGAGTGAGCCTGTGAGTGAGTGGCTGCTGTGGCTGCGGAGCCTCTTCAATGCCTTCTTCGTTGGAGCATCATGAGCCCCTGCCCGGCCTTTCAAGCACTGAGCTCCCTGCAGAGTTCTAGGCTGCTGTCACCCCAACAGTATATATGGCCACACGGAAATCGTACATGACTCCCGAAAATCCAAAACTGTTCCAACCGACATCAACACACAGCCGCCATTGCAGCCGGGCAATGCCAAGCGCCAAAGTGCTGCATTCTCCACCTTCCTTTCTCTGCACTTTTCCGATTTGGCTCATCGGCTCTGTGACTGGGTCCTTGCCCCTTCCTCTCTCCCCCCTTCCCCGTTCCCTGGCTCACCGCTGTGACTGGGTCCTTGCCCCTTCCTCTTTCCCCCCTTCCCCCTTCCCCTGCCTCACCGCTGTGACTGGGTCCTTGCCCCTTCCTCTCTCCCCCCTTCCCCGTTCCCCTGCCTCACCGCTGTGACCGGGTCCTTGCGGTCCGTCGGTGGCACGAAGAACAGTCCCAGGGCCACTGTGAAGCTCAACACCGCCAGGGAAAGACTGGACATGTGCTCCAGGAGCTTGTGCTTCAACGGCTGGAAGTACATGTTGGACCACATGATCGCCATCAGCACAATCTGTGGAGAGTTGAAGACCACCCGCAGCAGCCACAAGGAGTTCAGTTACCGAGCTGTTGTCAAAGCCGAAGCCAATCAAGCAGCCAAGATACCATATAGCCGCGGAAAGGAAGCGATACGGTGCGTAGCGCGGGATGGCAAATCCTCCTAAAAACTTCTAAACAGTTCGGTGCACAAATTTTCTGAGCTGCTTTTTAAGCAAGAGAGAAACGCATCGCGTGGTGGGTCGCACGATTTTCCTCCCCGCGAGCCCCTTGTGGACGGTGAGACTGATGGACCCACCATCAGGAGCACGGCCTGCTGGTAAACCGCCAGCACGCGACCAAACACGTCCACTACCACCAGCAGCAGCGTCTGCAACTGCATCATCGACTCCCACCAGTAGAACTTCTTGGAGCTTTATGTCAAGGGAGGGAAGATGCAGGATGGGGACATGAATCTTGATATTTTGCCAAGGAGATATTTTGCCACGGAGATATTCTGTCATGGAGATTTCCGGTTATGGAGATTTTCGGTGATGGAGACTGCCGGGTGGATCCTGGGGTTGTTTATCGCAAGCGCATGCACTAGGGGGAATCCGGATACCTAGCCGTCCTCAGAAACTCAAGTCGTCTGGAGCAATCCCCAGCAGGACTTCGATTTATGCAGCAGGTGGCTCACCACATGTTCCCTACGCACTGCACACAGCACTTACTCGTAGCGCTGGTACAGGAAGCCGTACGTCTGTACAACATGAACAGTACGCAATGCCGTACGGTGCGTCCACATCACCATGAAGGTGAGGAAGGGGATGCCGACGCAGATAACGATGATGCCGACAATGCCGATGGGCACCCAGATTCGTGCATGGTCGCCTGCGTACACACATGGACACATACGATATGCAGCAAAATGCCGCACACTTAGAAGAAATCCTGCTTTCGCGGCAGTTGCTACGGTTGCAAAATTCATAGTGAGCGAGCCAGCGAACGCCATACACGCTGCACACAGGCCGTTAAAATTCTGTGTGGCAGTTAGGGGGGGTAATTATCAGTGTCTTCTGAAACTCGGCATCCCAAGGAGCTCGCGTGCGTTACGGATGCGGCTGGGCACGCTGTGATTCCAGTTAGGGAACTGCTATTAATGTCCTAAGGCACCCAGACGCGAGGTTTAAACCATGTGTCAAAAGCCGTCCAGGCGAAATTATCTGCCGTATTGTCGTACGTAGCGTCGTACAGTTGTCCGTACCTAGATAGCATTCCTGGTTCATGTTGAGGATCCAGTAGCCCCTGCCCCACGTCGCCCGCTGGAACTCCGGATAGAAGCCCGTGCCGTCGTCTAGATAATAGCAGGCAAAAATCTGGAGAGTTGCCTGTTTAGGGAATGGAAGGAGGAGGATTTGTTTTCGCAGCTCCGTGTTCTGCGGGAGTTTGTGCTGTGTCTGTAAAAATTCTGGCGTCGTGATTTAAAAAATCTCTATCGTTGTCTGGAAGCGTTGTTCCTCTACAGGACGAGCATATGTGTGAGAGGGGCAAGAAGTGTTAAGATACAAAAGCAGTACGACTAGCCGTTGGCCGTTCGTTTGACCCTTCGGTCCCTATCCTCGATTTCTCAACCAACACGGTTTTCGCGCATCCATAACTCCGGCTCATGCGGGGACCACCTGCACATGGTATCTTTCTGGCCTGCTATAGTTGGGAAGGAAGCTGCCAAACAAGGTAGAAGAGCAGCGGAGAAGGCGAAATGGGCCCGATCAGGTTCTGTACGGCATCAGTAAGTCTGCAAGCCGCTCTGCCAACGTGTTGCGAATCTGACCACTCCTGAATCACATGAGGGAATATGCGCGCAAACCCTTCACACTCACAGCTTTGGCGACCGCACAAGAAAATAAACACATCTTGTACATTCATATATTGGCGTGATTATTGCGCATCATTACGCTATGCAAAAAAAAGCGATGCAAAAAACAAACCGATATAAAAACATATTACTCAAGAGTCGCACACATGCGTATATGTCGTACCTGCGCCCAAGCGGGGTAGAGCACGAAGCAGGCAATCATGACCACCAGCAGCTCCTGACGCCACCAGACCATAGTGCGGTGGATGGTGGCTAAAGAGGCCCATCGAATCTGCTCGGGTAGGGTTAGGATGATGGCGGCGACAGGGTGGCGACGGTGACCATGGTAATGTACGATGGCAATGTACGACGACGCCGGATGTCGCGACGATGGCAATTGTACACTTGTACAGCTTTTTTGAGCACGGCCGCCAAATATCGCAAGTAGCAGGCCAAGCAACCGGATCCAAGCCAAGCAAAAGCTCTTCGGATTTGGAACGGTGTGCCCTCTGCTTCAACACGCCAACCCTGACGCACAAAAGCGGGGGCATTACGACACCTCTTTTACCCACCTTGCCTTCCTCCTCTGCGCCCTCCATATCCACCGTGAAGAAGGTTCGGAACCAACTACTGCCCTGCGTCAGCTTGCGGCGGAAGAAGCCCTTCGGCGGGCTCCGGCCTTTGTCACCACCGCCGTCGCCGCCGCCGCCGCCGCCAGCCTCCCGGCTGCGGCCCTGCCTCCCGGCGCCACCACGAGCACCTCCCGCGTCCGCGGGAACTCCCTCAGCGCCCCTTCCATCTTCAGGGATGTTGTCCATGGTGCCGCTCTGTACGAGAGGCCGTACAGTGAGATTGACGTAGGCAGGACGACCGCCGTACGGGGACCCAGGCCCCGGCTGCGGTGCGGGGTACGACCCTTGACCCGAAAACCTGCGGCTAGGGCCAGCCGGCCTCCTCATTGGCGACGGGGTTGAAGTCGGCGTTGGGCTCGACGGGTTGCAGCCCGATTTGGGCCCGAAAGCCATGGCGAAGGGGCTGCGCATGTTATCGTGTGATTTGGTGCTTGGCAGGATCGGTAGGCTGGG